AGAATCTGACTCAACACGTGGTTCATCGTGAGTCCATGGCAAGTCTTGCTTTGGTGGCTGAGGCTTGAGATAGTCCACCAGGTTGCGGATGTGGCGGGTGCCACTCTCAGGGCAGGTGTCCCATGGTGTTCTACATCCACTGGTTCCATGATATTCCACGGGTTCCGTATGGTACGGTCCCATGATAGATTGCTCTTTGACCATGAGCCGTGTGGATGCTGGACCTGAAGCCCCGAGGAGAGTCTTATGATCCGGATCCCAAGATGGAGGAGAACCTCCGTCAGGCGTTTGTCCCTCAGGACGCAAAGGTGTGCCAAGGTGTAGCACATTTAGGTCCAATGATGTCGATGATGTCGATGATGTCGATGATGTCGATGATGTTGATGGCGTATGATGACCTGAGGTCTCACACTCTACGACTGAAAGTTTGAGCCTTAAGATTGCCGAGATCCGGCTGAGGTGGAAGTCCTTTGGGCACATGCGGACAGGATTGGATCATGCTAATTTCTGCTTGTATTGCAGATGAGCGACGCTTTAACAATGCCCCTAAGGTATATGACGAGTACGAAAGTGCACTGGAGCGCCGAACCTTCTCGGAACGCAGTGAACCCAGTTCATGATGTTCATGGGCAGACACTTGTTGCGCGGGGCTGCCATATGTTATCATCATAATGGACGTGAGGTGACTATGCCGAATTCGAAATGCCGGAGCCCCAGTGGGAATTAGAGGAGTAGAGTCCAGTAGAGTGAAAGAGGGGTTTAAAGGCGGAAAATGAATGAACAAAGTGCCGTAACATGATGGAAAGTGATCAGCCATGGCGGCAAGTAGACGCTAAGTAGGTAGACGCGGTAGACACTAAGTATATAAGCTCCTTTTGTGTGGTTTTCGTCGACGGATTGCAGGCGCTCAGTCGAAAGGGAGAATGATACCTATAGAGCAGGTGCCCAACCGCAGGACATGTGGAACGAGAGACAGACTTGACCATGGTTGACCACAGTCGTAACGGCTTCCTAACATGCTGGATGTTGATTTTGTACATTTGATGTGTGTTGATTGGATCAGCTCCTGAGCTAGCACATGCCGCAGGAGTTCATTGTCGACAACCGTTGGCTGAAAGCGCAGTCAGGGGCTCAGCCATGTGGACTTGTCGAGACACACGACTTGCCTTTGTCCTTTGAGTTGGCGTTGACCACAGGACGGATGGTCTTGGCTATCGCAACAGCCCAGACTTCCAGGAGATCAATGGAGATCTGAAAGAGAAGCCAACTCACCACAGAGACACGCCCAGTTGACTCCTGTGATTTTGCTTGACATGGTGGACCATGTCTTGAATCCAGGATCAAGATGCAACACGGCCTGTTGCACCCTGGCACCGGCCCAAGGAAGCTGCTCTATACATTTCTCTGCCCTGTGCAAAGCAAGGAACTGAACATGAGCCGTGCAAGGTACTCAACAGTATACGGATACGACCTGGAGAACGGTTGGGTCCGGGTTTCCCAGGAAACCGCTCAGGAAGCCAGAAGAACTCTGCAGTACCCAATAAGATCGAATGATCAAATACTGAAAAGGTGGTAGATGATCGGTAGATGGTAGATGTCGCCTTTGAATCCGTTTGAAGTTTGAGCACCCCCAGCTTGTTGGAGATGATCGCGGCCAGAAGCCTGTTCAAGTGGAGCACTTCACCAATTGTCATCCCAGTTGAACAGATCTCAAGTTAGTTGTGTCAACCTAGGTGGAGGTGGAAGGTGGTGGTTACTTGCCAGCGTTTGTGGGGGACACCCCAGCTCCTTGGCTGAACCAAAGACTTACAGTCCAGGTCCACCCCAACATCCACACACCTCTGGCATAATTAAAGAAAACACCCTGGGCCAGGGGGTGAAAAGACCTCATGCAAAGGGGTCGGTATGATGTACAATGTCTGCCTTTCACGCAAATTCGGGGAAACAAAAAAGAGGTCTAGTATGCTGTGGCTCTTAGATAAGGGCATAGCAAGAAAAACAAAATTGAACAAATAAAACACCCGGACTCACTTTGCGTCAGCTGAAGTTGAAGGGTTTAGATGGTTCAGCCAACCTGGAATTCAGATCGTTGGATGCTTTCGTTTTCCCATCATAGCCGAGGTGTTGACCATCCCTGATGCTGAAGAAGACTGAGCTCAGTCAAGGCCGGCTTACTGCCATGGGTCATGTGCTTGCGGAATCTTACGGATGGTCATACTATCCCTGTTTGGCTTGTGGCATATTATTTGAGAGCATGAAGCCATGAAGCCATGAAACCATGAAGTTTGTTTTTGTTTTAGTTTTTGAGTCGATTGATTTGTCGTAGCCTCATTGGCCCGACCGGGACCTGCTCGAAGAAGATAGAGATGCTGAGCAGCTGGGCAAGGCGAGTGCTGGGTGGGGATGAGGACAAGCCGAGCTCATCCGGAGTATCCGGTGTGGAAGGAAGCGAGCCGCCGAAACTGCCGGTGACATCTCGTGCCTTGAGGAGAAATGTTGGAAATGATGTTGATGAGAGTGACAAGGCCTCTGAAGCATCCGAGCTCTCACCTCTGAGAGGTGCAGAGACGCCCGGCTCATGGCGGCACGGAGTGGAGTGCAACCCTTGCGCTTGGTATTGGAAGCCTCAAGGCTGCATGCGAGGTAGTGAATGTGGATACTGTCATCTCTGTCCTGAAGGTGAAGTGAAGCTTCGAAAAAAGGCAAAGGTGGCAGCCATGAGAGGTGTGGCCAGTCCCGCATCTACCACGTCAAGCTTGTCGCCTACAAAGTTTCAGAAGGAGGAGGCAGATATAGAGGTACCTGACCGTCAGCCCAGCATGTCAGTTGGAGCAGCACTGCATGGGACTGGTGAATGTAAGCCTTGTGCGTGGTTCTGGAAGCCGAAGGGCTGCCAGAACGGCGAGGAGTGCCGCCATTGTCACCTTTGCCCACTGGGTGAAATCCGACAGCGAAAGAAAATGAAAGATAGACTTGCTCGGGAAGGCGGTTACAGTCAGGAGGACCTCATGATGCCAATGGAGCCACTGAAAGTGGAGATCCCAGGCGCAGCAGGCATATCTCCGACATTTGAATCTTTGGAATGTGAGGAACCCCAGAAGGTGGCACCATCTCCTACTTTGCAACCAACCGATGCAGCCATTGCGCCACCCCCAGGGTTGGCTGATCTTGCAAAGCAAGAGCCTTTGGAGCAGGAAATTGCACCATCCCCACTGGCTTTGAGCTTGGCCCAGATGCTAGAGGAAGAGGATGATGGAAAGTACCAGGTAGAGATCAGTCCTTTCATGATGGGCACTGAGAGTGCTGATGCGGCAGCCCATGTTTTTCCTTCTGAGGGTTCGAAGTTGCATGGCACTGGCTTTTGCAGGCCTTGTGCATGGTTCTGGAAGCCAAAAGGCTGCGACAATGGGATGGATTGCCGCCATTGCCATTTGTGTCCCCAGGAAGAGATCAAGAACAGGCGCAAAGCAAAGCAGATGATGCAGAATGACCCGGGGAGCCCCATGATGTGGGGCGGTACAAGCTGGACTCCTCTGTCTGCAATGGATTCCATGATGACACAGACGCCAGCATCAATGTTCCTAGGAATTGAGTTCTCTGATCCGACGGTGCTGACACCATTGGACCTTGGGACCTCTCCAATGCAAAGCTCCAATTTTGATGCTCAATGGGATCCTTTTGGGGCACCTTCTCCAGTTTCACCAGAGTCGCCCAAGCTTGCCATTGACCTTGCCAGTTGCCTGCCGGTGCCTTCTGCAGGTTCCGCACTGCATGGAACTGGAAAGTGCAAGCCATGCGCTTGGTTCCACAAGGCAGCTGGATGCAGCAATGGCGACTCATGTGCACATTGCCACCTTTGCCCAGAGGATGAGATCAGAAACCGCAAGAAGGCAAAAGAAGCTGCACTACGTGCGGGCGCTCTGGAACCAAAGCGAGATGCAGATAGTCGGAACCCACGAACTGTGCGGATTGCCCCTCTTTTGGCTGGGTAGAGACTAGAAGGCGACTTTCTACAGTTGTTGTTCATGTAAAGTTCGGAGAAGGCATTTTGCCTCTGTTCGTCCGAAATGTATCCCAGAATTCCCGCTGATCTTCTAGCCAAGCTAGACCAGATCAGGTCTTGTGTTTTCACTCTAGTAGGATTGTATACCATGGTATAGCAGTGAGATCTCAGCTTTGCCAGCTTTGCGCTGCAGTTCCAAAACATGTGGACCACATTGCCAATTTTTGCAGTCCCAAAGCTCTCAGAGGCGCCTTGCAGCCGTGGGTTGGCCAGGTTTACCAGGTTGGCCTTGGCGCATTGGCACAAAAGGATGTGAATGATACCCCAAAACCATCCAAAACCCTGCTTGGCCGCAAGGCTTCGCAGTCAAGAATGTCTAGCTGCCAGAAGCTAGGTGCATGATGCGTGTAGCTGCTCGGAAGGAGCACAGAACCCCCGCAAATTGCAGACAGAAGATGGCAGAAGAAAGATGTATGGAGGGAGAGTTTCTTTGCTTTTGCAACCACAGTTATCTTTTTTAAAAGGCTGGGGTGTGGTCTCACTCATACGAGTCACCAATAGAGAGACGAGTAGTTAGGGTCTTGTGACCCTGCAGGGCAGGGGCCAAGAGACTTTCAATCCTTGCCTCTGTCAAAGATGCCGATGCCTTGCCGTTTCACTTGCTTGAAAAGCAACCAGCAGAACATCAGACGGCAACGCAGTGGAGGTGATTAATTACTAGAAATGACTAGAACTCAGTGATCCCTTCCCGTAACATTAAACGCCCCACCTCCCCAAGTAGTAAATATTCGAACACACACATAATAAATGCATGTATATATATATATATGTATTATATATATATATGTATATATATAATGAACAATATTAGGGTGTATTTTGTATTGGGTGGTCTGGCACTTTCTCCTTGCAGCGGTTTGGTATCTCCAAATCAAAGGATCCCAGAAACAATGGAGATGAAATGAACAGAATGGAAAAGACGATGGAAAAGACGGGAACACTCACTAAATAGAGGGGTTCATGCGCAACGGGTGTTTTTCAGTGTTTCAGACTGGGTTCAGGCTTGTTTCAGACCCCTCATGGTGAGCGTTGTGAACTTCAAAACAAAGGAAAGACAAAACAGGAAAGAAAAAGGTAAAGGAAAGCAGAGGAAAAGGAAAAGCAAGGCCGGTTGGAACTTACGTTTTTGGCTGTTCTTTGTAGGATGTGCCTCGCAGACTGAAGATGTTTTTCATTTCCTGTCTTTTTCTTACGTTTGTCCTTTTTTTCCTTGGTTCCTTGTTTTCTCTCTTGTTTTTGTTTGTTTCCCTTTTTCAAGATTGACACTTTCCTCTACCAGAAGGTTTGAAGTTTGAACCAAGTCTGAACCAGTGAAAATTGTCATTTGACCAATAGTGTTGCGGCAACTTCAAAGTTCTGGTTTTTTTCATCCTGGTAGAATACGTGTTCATCACCGTTGGTGGGTTGGACAGCCGAAATGCAGAACCATCCCCGAATACTAAGAGTAAAGGGGCTCATTAAAAACATATATTCGGACAACTTTGGGTTACGAGGAAAATATTATTTGGTTTAGGGCGAGGGGATTGTTATAGATGATGATGATACGTGTCGTGATAACGACCTTGAGAATTTGGGTTCCATGGTACTTGCTCGATGGAGTTTGTGCTGTCTGATGTTTGACCCTGAGCGACGACATCTGTAACAAAAGCCAGGCACGGCAGCGCGACAGGCACACACACACACATCAAATTTTGACCAATCTGGTTTTGTAGTGATAGGTTGCTCGCCGTGAAGTGGATGCGCTGCACAGATTGCAGGCAGTTTTGGACATATTTTTTGACTTCTCAAGGTATCCACATGCATACCTGGAGGACCCAATCCATAGCCGCTAGCCTCTCGCCGGTTTTTTTCTGTATCCACCCTGCTTGCCAATTTATATAATAGTCACTTCCCCTTCAGGGCACCGATGCTTGTTCGCCATGATTTGCCTCGCTGCGAGCCTTTCAGACTTTCGAAACCTTACATGTCTGAATAGGAGCAATTTTTTCAGGTGCTTCGGTCAGCTCCTCCAGAGATCACCGAAAACCTGGAGGAACCTTTGAACAGATTTCGAGCCAGAAATCTTGAGGCCGAAGTCACGGAATTGTACAAGCTCAGGCCACGATCCAAAGTCTCAGAGCGAGACAAGTTGGACGCAGAAGTGCTGCCAAACTTTGGACACATCTCATTAAACGCCTATTGAAGCAACGGGGCAGAACAGCTGTTGCGAGCGCTTCTCACCATGAGATGGGCATCCCTCCATTTCGCTCCAGGCTTCAAGCACAAGCTGAGCTTGGAAGATACTCTTTTCGAGTTATGTCGACTGATACTTCAGCAGTTCCGAATTTGCCCGCTATGTCTTGGGCATCACCATTTGGCACCCGGAGCTCTTGAAGCATTCCCAACTCCTGCTGCCAGCTACAATGCTTTGCTGGTTGGGAATGAAAGGCACCAAAGAGTCCTAGCTTCAGGACATTTCAGGACACATGCTGCTCTGCACAAATCACACGGCCCCAGGACCGAGGTCAATAAGGTGGTCCAGCATGTCCAGCCAAAAATGAGTCGAACATTTTGGCCCGGAGGAAGCTTGTCTCCTGCCTTGCATTTTTTGTCGTTGAGCTGCCCAGATCTCCAGGTAGATTCAGTAGACCAGCCCATGATTTCGAATGTGCCATGGCTATCCGCAATGGCAACTTCCCACTTGGCAGAGCTCTTGGGAATGACTGCAAGGTGCCTGACTCAGGTCTGCGGACTCCCCCGTCTAGACAGACAGACAGACAGACAGAGACAGAGACAGAGACAGAGACAGGGACAGGGACAGGGACAGGGACAGGGACAGGGACAGAGACAGAGACAGAGACAGGGACAGAGACAGACAGACAGACAGACAGACACAGACAGAGACAGAAACAGAGACAGAGACAGACAGACAGACAGACAGTCTCAGACAGACAGACACACCCACACACTTGCTCAGAACTGTCATTGCGAATTCTGTCGTGGAATGCATCTTACGTGCAAAAACACTTCCATTGCAGGAAAAGGTCGGTGAAAGGACCTGAAAAACATTGAGAAGCTGCCATCGCCATAGCCAGGGAATTGCGCCAACTCACTCGTACCACCCACGATTGAGACCAATTGATTGGAAGAAATTAAGTGAAAATTCGACTTGCCGGTTCTGAGCTTTAGCCGGTTGCTACGACGTAAACCACATTGGAAAAATGATTTGGATAGCAGGTACGTCGATCCAGCGTCCTATCACAGAATGTCATAGCCGTCTTCGTTGGCTGCAGAACTATGACATTCCCTGCGGCCCCCTGCGAAACTGAGAAGTAGTAAAATGAAATCAAAACCTAAAACAGAGTACTGGAATTCCAGCAAGTTAGAACTTTTACATCTCTTCAGCCCCGCTGCCGCGGGGCTTTTGGAAGATGCGCGGCTGGACACGGATCAAAACGATCAAGATGCCAACTCAGCGCAAATGATTGTTTCCAAATAGGAAAAAGGCATGATCTATGTGCTGTTGTCGTCCGGAATATCGGAAGACGTTGCGCGATGTTGAGCAAGAACGCTCGCCAAGATTACCAGGTGTGCTGCCAGGTGGGCGACGCCATCATGGTTCAGAGACTCAGAACTCAAAGGCAACAGGTCTGGCGAGGCCGGTGATGCCGTGCTCAAGGCCGATAAAATGGTTGCCTGCAGGGTCCTGGGACAAAATACTGTGTAATAGCCAGGCCAGCTGGGTGATGGCCGGAGGGTTTGACTGGGAGGACAAAGGGTTCACATCAGTTGGTTCAGCCCCATCATCAGGGTTGAAATCATGGTACTGTATGGATGGGCATCTTCAGCTACACCAAAATGACGGTGCCAATAATTGGCCAACTGGGAAGCCTGGTGCCAGCTGCCCACTTGATCCCCACGACGATCTAGCACATGACCCACGATTCCATTGAAAGTATTCCAAGGACCTGCCACGAGAGTGACCCGACGAGTCAACCTCTTCCACCACCAAGTCTGCAGGCCCATTTCCATACTCATAGATCTTGAAGGTGTGGGTATGGACGATTCTTGGCGCCACTGAGACGGTTGGAGAGGAGCAAATGTCTGGAAATTTGGTGTGGAGGAGCTAGAGGAGAGCGGCATAGGGATTGGTACCGAATGACTGGTATATCCGGAAGCTGGCTCGGGGTGAGTCAAGCTCGTGATCAAAGTCATGGGCACATCCGTCTCGTGCTCCGAAGCCATGCGAAGATCCCGCGGGGAAGCTAAATCGGCGGTTGTGGAGTCTCGTTTTGTCATATTTCAGAGCTGAAAAGAGCAGAAACTGGAATTAAGTGGATACAAACCAAACAACAGCACGGCAACAAGAAAAAGTAGAAAGGAAATTGAAGGACGACATGAATACTTGGAATTTTACGTCTGTCGAGCATTTTATGGTAAGTACCCAGCGGGAAGGGCTCTATGGCAAGATGGAGCATGATGTACTGCTGGTTGAAATCAGTGAAAGGTCTGGGAGGAAACAAAGTGCCCGTGTCTTGTTGTCGACATTGAGGTCGATGGGTATGAAGTATGTGACAGAGGTTGGTGTTGCGCAGGCCGAAAGTGTCACCCGAGCTATCGTGCCATCGAAGATCCAACTCGTCAGGGTCGATCTGAACATCCCAGGTGACCGAGATTGCAAAGTTCTTCTGCGACATGATGTACTTCACTGAAGTCAATGATGACCAAAACGCGCCGAAGGCGTCCAATCGCAGGGGCATGCCAAAGAAGTCATCATGGACGAAGTGGAGCGGTTTGGAAGCCTTTCCACAAAGATAGTGGTACCATGGCGTTTTGAGCGTGGATTGCCAGGGATGGCAGGAGTGCTTGGAGGAGTGACCATAGGACGCAGATGTGGTTCAGGATTCAGAACCATATGAATGGGTACGCCACCATGAGAAATCATCGAGGCAGACGGGGAGGAGGGCATGCTGGGCATGGGTACAAGAGTATGGAGATGATGGTCGTGGATGTGATGGGACTGTGGTGGTAGCATAGGCTGGTGATGATGTGGAGGTTCAGAGTCTTTCCAATCGATAGCAGGCTCAAAAAATGGCAAGGTGCCTACGATGTAATTCAACTGATTGCTCTGGCCAAATGGTCATGAATTTGGCGCTGGTTCATCTGCCAGGAGCCATCGATCCCGACAGAGCGCAGAGGACAAACAAATGCACGGAGCGCGAGCTTGAACCAAAGACTGACAAGCCATGGAAGGAAAAGACGTTGAAGAAGAAAAGTAAGAAGGAAGCAAATTGGAGGGGAACATGAATACAAACCATGATTCAGGAGTTCACGAGTAACGCGGAGCAATGATTTTATCCTTGATTGGTCAAAATTTGAGAAGACATGCAGTTGAGTTCTTCTCGGGAGAAACTTGCCAAAGTGTACAAATGAATGAGCTGTTCAAGTCCCTGATGTACTCGATGTAGAGGAAATGCCCCTTTGACCACAATGTGGCAACGAGAGCGGAAGCCACTGAGGAGCACTTTTGGTGGGGACGCTGAGAATGGAGACAAGACTTGAGAGATGTTGGTGGGCCCACAGTAAATCAGTTCGAGTGGTTAGGTTTCAAGCATGAAACCAAGAAATTGTTGATCTGGTTCTGTCTCCAGCACATTTGAACGGCCATAGAATCTTTTTTCTCAGAGGACTTCATAAGGAGACACTTGTTGAAGCCGTTTGTCGCCAAAAATTAGCCGGTTGTCAACATACCGGAATATACCGGATGTGACGTATGAACCCATTGTGCTTGGTCAACGTTTCGAGGAAATTGATGGACCAAATCTGTTCACTAATGGAGACAACCATAAGTCCATAAGGCATAGGGCTGGTGAGAGTGGGCTGCCCATGGGGCTTCCACGGCGCTGACGAATGCAGCATTGTCCCAAGGCAAATGTCTGCATGTCCAGTGCCGTTCTGATGAGGGTCGGTACATCCTTAATCATTAATCACGATCTTTCTTGTGACGTTGAGCTTCCGGAAGGTGCGGCCTTTGATCAGGTTCCCAGGATTGTTTGATTTCCCCGGGTAGTCCGAAAAGGCTTAATTCGCTGTCGCCAACATCAATATGAGGACGAAGGGATAAGTCAAGGAGCATGTACCAAGCAGCCAGAAAACGGGCTTCATCAATGTCAATGCTGGCGAAGAAGCCCGCTAAATCCTGGTTGAACAAGATGAGATCACCGCGTTCTGGAGCTTCACGTAAAATCTTGAGGAGGGTGTAGACGTCTCCAATGGCAAAGTGTTTCGGACAAGCGACTGGGATCAATTTAAAGATCATCCGTGCCAGGATGTTGAGCATCGGTCGAAACGGAGAATCGACAAAGGAAATGATAGGTCGTCCACAATTTGGTAGGCTTTTTCTTTTTTGCCAGGGTGTAGCCAGAAGGGAGTTGACGATCCTTCCCAATAGGTGAAGGGTATGACTTGCCGTGAGCCCATTGGAGATTGGAGACAAAGGTTGTCACAAGATCTTGGGGCGCCTGAGGGTTGGTTTTAAAAAACCGAAGTGCTTTGGGATTGAAGGAAGGCCGTTATCTTTGGTCCACTTACAAAATTTACAAAGACCCCGAGTGAGCACAGCAATAGTCCTTCTTCACAGCTAAAACCGTGTTCAACAAAGAGCCTTCAGCGATCACAGCGAGCTCAGGTGGTAGAAGGTCAGTGAGCAAGGAGCGCGAGAGTACCCAGTGAGGGTCACTGGGATTGAGCACTGCTGTTCTGTAACCGGGCCAATTCTTGCACCGACATTCTGCTTGGGCTGTTGTCGACCATGTTGTAACAGCCTGCTTGTGGTTGCAAAGTTGGCCCAGCACGGAAGGATGTTTGACAAAGATGGTCTTGAACGACGGTACGTGGCATGGTACTTGGTGAGCCAAGACCTGTAAATGCCATTGGCGCAGTTTTTTGAGAGTCTTTTGGAGATTTGGGCTGAGCGACCAGGGTGCTCTCAAGGCTGACGCTCGTGAAGCTGGTTTGCAATGCCACCATCGGATTGATGCATCGATGGCCTGCAGAGGGAGAGTGTACGGTAAGCCTGGATGTTGTTGCTAAAGGGTGAGGCCCCTCGAATTGGATCGCGACATGTTGGTTGTTTCGAATCGGGCATGGGTATTCGATCCCAAAGCGTGGATGATGTGCCACAATTCAAGACGGTTCTGAAACCGTTCTGAGGAGAGAATGTCCCGGACGACTTGGGGGCTTATGTTTAGCTCGTCTCGGCAGGGTGGCCAATCCAAATTGAGCATTTGTATTATTTTGTATTCATGGTACGTTTCTTCAAAAGCTCTTCGCGAGGGTGGAAAAATTGGCAAATGAATGGGTAGTTCAACCAAGGTTGCCATTCTTGAATGAGTGCAAGTTCAAGGCATCTATAGTCGGCACGGCGGACAAAAAGAGGAATCGGGGCCCAAACGTAGAGATTTTGATGCTCACGCCAGAACCGACGAGCGAGTTCACCTTGAACAAGATTGTCATTGCTGAGCTGAAGATATGCATGGCAGACCCAATACAAAATTTGGGTTGCACCGTGGTGATGTGGGTGCTCCGGATATATACACAGTTGGGAAAGAAAAATTCCTTCGAAAAGAGGTTGTGGGAAGCCAGGGTAGAGCCCCACAAGTGCACAAGCGAGCAAGATTAGCACAGCATTGGGTCTGAGACCATGTATGGTGGAGAGCACCATCATACGGGGTTGTTTGATGCGAAACCTTTGAAAAAGAGAGATGGTGGATGACATGGTGAAAGGAGTCGAAATGATTCACCAATATCATCGCATGGATAAGGTGAAGGTAAGATTGAAGGACTTTGTGCTTAAGCTTCTTCCGGAGAAGCGGAGGTAGTCAATATGTCATAGTGATTTCGACTGTCAAAACCTTGATGAGATTGGTGGCGTTGACGTTCTTTTGAAGTTGACAAACAGGGATGCCCGTCATCACTGCGACCTTTTGGACTGTTTCAACGGCATAGGCGGGTTGATTTGGCCACCATGTAGCTGGCAATATTGGAGACGAGGACATTGCGCCGGGCGTCGGAGATTCTTTGAGCCACTTTGGAAAAGTACGACCGGCAAGGCCCGATGGTAGATTGTCGGTGAGCCAATTGTTGGAAAGACGTGGAATGGTGAGAAGGCAAGCTGGATCAAAGGCTGGAGGTGGCGCAGGAGCTCCGGAACCCATCAAGGCGCGTTGGATGGGTGTGGTTTGAGAGGAAGAACTTTGTTGACCCGTATGAGGTGGAGGGTCGTCTCCAAGTCGTTGACCTAATTCTGCCAACTGACTTCGGAGGTGAGTATTTTCGTGCTGAGAATCTGGGTCGATGGAACAAAGTAGAGATGGAGGACTCGGAGTCATCATACGTCCCATCCCATAAGGTCCCGGCTGGCACGGTAGCCACTTCGGTACGTTCTGAGGTCTTGGCATGGTTGATAAGGACCGGACTGCGAAGCCCATAGGGCCATACCATCTGGGAAAGCACGAGAATGCCTGTCGTTGCCCTGGTTGTTCTTGTCGATCACGAGGCGGCAACGGCGAGCGAGAACGATCAGAGTCGGCCATGGTTTCAACACTCGCAACAGGCTATGCGGCAGGAGGTGCAACAAGCAGAGATTCCACAAAAGGACATCTCCAAGATCCCAGGGTTTGATAAAGTTTCAGAAATCCCACCGGAACAAGAAACGCGAACAGTTCGTAGTGCCATGAGAAAGTGTAAAACAATGAAACTGAAATCATGTCCAGCAGTGAGACTTGAATGAGAATGACACATCAACAGGTGCAGACACAAAAAGGAAGAAAGAAACAAGAAGCAGCCAGAAACACTAACAAGAAGGTGTCACAGATTGAGGCAACAGTGCAGCAACACGTTTTGCAAAGATGGTTGTCCAGAAAAGAAGAATCCGGTTTCTGGTTCCGAAAATTGCTGCAAGGCACGATTAGCTGTTATAATCAGGAAGGTCGTCATCTGGATCGGTTGAGCCAACAGGCACACCTAGTGGAAGTGGTTCCACCTGTTGTTCCTCGGAACCTGACAAGGGGCAGGCCGGAGTTGGTCCCAGGTCACCGCCAAAAAGCACATGCTTGTATGACGGCTATGCGTCAGAGTGTACTTTTCTGACGTGGTGACTACCTCCACCAAGGGAATCTTCAACTGGGCCATGTCGTTACCTCCCGCACTGGGACTCAAATGGGCTTCTTTGCCCTTGTAAAGGGCCCCAATGAGAATCGGAAGTTGACCTTTCCCCTTCTTCGAAGCCCTGTCCATCAAACCCAAGGCTGCCCATTGTGGCACCTGAGTGTCAGGTCGGGCGACCTCTATCCGCACAGCATAAGCTCCAAAGGTTGGAAGTTGGCTTTGCTTGAGATCCGGATTGAACGTCCAGCCAACAGGACGGATAAGTCCTTCCAGTAAGATGCACTGAGCAGCTGTGACCGAGGTAACTTTGCATGACGAAGGTTGGCTGAATCAAGAAGGTCGGCACCTGCGAGGACATGTGTAACCAGCTTAATCTTGTGAGATGGGATGTCGGAGGCCAAGTTGGCCAACGCATGAGTAGCCGACTCAAGCAAGGCTTTGTTGACCGTTTGCAGCGGTCGTGGACGTTTGCCCCCAGGAACGGCCTGAACACGGGATTTGTAGCGCAAATTGTACCTGAGAGATCCATTCTTCATGAGAGGAGTCCAAATGTGTGAGGTAGACTTCGCCCTCTTGAAGTGGGTTGCCACAGTCAGAACGATGAGATTTCCGATCTTTGGGTTTGCCCGGCTTCTGAGTGTGCCCGTGCTTGTAAGAAGTGCGAGAAGTCTTCTTCTTGCCTTTGGAATGATGTTGTTGGTAGTAGGAAGATTTTACGGTGGAATAGGCCGTAATGGGCTTGGACGTGGAGGTGGGCTGTGCCGCATGCAGACGGACTTGATGGGACTGGGTCGTTGTGGTCGTAATGGTCGGATTGACCGTATTGACCCCATCGGTCATATTGACCATAGTTCCAGCCATATTGTTGGTCTTGGTTGTAGTTTCCTCTGACAAACTTGAGGCGTTGTGGTGTCATAGTGGTCGCTCTGGGGTTTTCCTGGACCGGTTTGCAAAAGAAAGGGATAGTAGCAAGTTTGTCTCTTGGCTTGACCACGGCGAGCTTGAAGCGATTGAGTATTTGAACTTGGCCTTGACCAAAGCTATAACTCTTAAGGCTGGTGTCGCTTGGCGAGCTGGTGGGGCCAATTGCTTGGGGTTGCGTTCTTCGGTCGCTCCTACTGAACAATCTGTCTCCGTTTGGCGTGCTAAGGCTGTGCCGTTTGCTTGGTCTGAGTCTGATTTGTTTCAAGTCCTGAAGGATGCCGGCTGGACTGAGCTTAGCGTGGTTGCCTACCCCACCAAGAAGGTGCGGCCTTGGCTCTTAAAAGCTAAGCCTCCTGCCGTGCTGACAGGCGGCTTTGCTGGCATTGAGGTTGGTGAATCATTGGTCATCATGGAAAAAGCTGGGGCCCATGGTCCTGTCAACCGTGAATCCAAGAAGCTGGTTTTGCGTCCTGGGGTTGGTGCTTCTGCCAGTGCTATCACTCCTAGTGTGGAAAGTTCTCAGGTTCCTACTGTTGCGGCTACTCAGATGGAAGTCTCTGAGGAAGAAGAGGACAAGGACAACCAAGAGGGAAAGGGTGGTGCTAAGCGTACTGGTTCTCCGCCGGGTTCGGCTGAACATGTCAAGACCAAGCAAAAGACCGCTTCGGGCGCTGTGCAACCTCGCAAATTGGTCTTTCCTGGTTTCGTTGAGCGTGATTGTGGTGCGGAGGGTTCTTGTGGCTTCAATGCTATTGCTGTTGGTGCTGCGTTGATGCGTGGTTCTTCTTGGGATGATGTTCAATCCAAAAAGGCGGCCATGGGGGCCACTCTGCGGGTTCAAGTTGGTCAGCATATCACTAAGCATGAGTCCACTTGTAAGCCTTTCTGGTCGCCTGATGTGTCTAACATCACCGCCGAAAAGGAAGACGGTGCCATTCCCACGGATTGGGCCAGTTGGCTTCAAGCCATAAGGAGGCATAAGCGTTGGATTTGTGGTTTAACGATCAAGGCTGCTGCTACAAGGCTTGGTGTCAAAATCATTGTCGTGATAAAACAGCCTGATGGCAGCTGGGGTTTGCATATGGCCTTTGGCAGCACAAAAAAGAAAGAAATTCCGATCCTCATCGGACTTGATGAAGGTGCTGGTCACTATGTGCTTTTGGTCCCTGACTCTGAGAGCATGATTCCTAGGTCTTGGTTTAGTGCCGGTCAATGTGAAGTCACTATGACTAGCCAAAATGTCTTGCGTGGCGCTGGTGGCTCGGATGATGCTGGTGATGGCTGGCTCCCCCCCTCCACCCCTAGTAGTCAAAAACGAAACGGTCTCGTTGGATCCCACCTGCGACTCCTCAGTCTCTTTCCGATGGTGCCGGTTGTTCCAAGGGTTGGTTGCCTTCTGGTACGCCTAGTCGCGTTCCGTCTGGTTTGTGTCCTAATGGTAGCTTACTCGCTGTTCCTTCTGCGGCTTCCTCTGTGCAAGCTGTGGCTGCGCCAGCGGTCGAAGTTCCTGTTGCGAGCTCGGTGGCTGCTGATGGATCCAAGGTTGAATGGACTTGTACGAAGTGCTTGAAAGTTGTTACTGCTGCTACGGCCTCTTCTTTACAGCGGAAACGACGTGTTCATCTGGCTCTCCATGTTCAGGCTCAGGTTCCTGCGGCTGCTATTCTCCCTCCACGTGGTCCCGAGCTGAGAGTTTGGACGTGTCATCATTGTGGTCAAAGATTTGAGGCTCCTTCTGGTCTGGCTTTAGGCTCTAAACGCACTAATCACTTGGCTACCCGCCATCCTGGTGAGGCCAAGGGTCACTGGGTGCGTAAAACGGTTGAGGTTCTGGCTACTTCTCCTGAATTGCCCTTAAATCAGAGAAAGTGGACTTGCGTGTGGTGCAAAGAAGGGTTGCCTGACTTGCCTCGGTGGCAGCTGATGAAGTCCATCGCTGCACACCTCAAGCAGCGCCACGGGAAGCGGCAGACATCTGCTGCTGCGTCTAATAAAGCCCGCGGCAAGCTTTACCGGCAAGATAAGTTGGCTAACCCGGTCATGCTTGAAGGTAAAAAGGTCTTGGGTCGTAAGTTGCGGCAGCGTGCTAATGATCGCCGCGATTGGCAGGTTGAAGGGCATGATTTACACATTGTCAGCGGGGTTGATTGGAAGAGTTGGCACGGCGTCACGATCACTAAGAGATTGGGAGCGCAGGGTGACACCTTGCTCACTTGTAAAAAGCGTTTGTTGATTACTCGGGCTCAGCATTCGTTTAAACCTTGCAGGGGCAATCACAAAGTCACCACTGCTCAAATGGGTCTGTGGCGGCAAATGAGCCTTGGTAACAAAATGGCTGTGCTTGACGTTTGGCAGATGTCCTTGGCTGAAGCTGATCAGGTGTTTGAATCGGCTGCTGCCACGTGGCGGTCCAACCCTAAGCAGTTAGGTCATGACATGGTTGAAGTGTTTGGTCCCAAAAAGTACATCACTTGTCGCAACTGTTGGTTCATCCGGCAGGCTCCTGGTAAGCTTGTTGCGTGCCCTGGCAGATCAAGGGCTCCCACTCAGTTGCAAACAACCACTTGGATTAGCTTGAAGAAACAGCATGGCTTGCAAGCTAAATTTGCTGATGAATGGGGTGTCTCTGTTAAAGAGGCAACGGCGTGGTATACTTGTAAGCCCGGCCGCCGTCTCAAGAGACCTGCGTCCAAGCATGCGGTTGACGACTCTTGGAAGCATGATGTTGTTGAAGATGGTGACGTTCATCCTCATCCTGGGCCTTCCTGGCGCGTTGTTTCCTTGAATGTTGGCGGAATGCCTGGTGCTTGGCGGGCTGTGCGCGAGTTGCTTTCTCCCAGTGACTTGGCTGTCTTGGCGTTGCAAGAAGTTGCTGGGTCTACTAACGAGCTGATCAGTTTGCAAAGGGCTGCTCTCAACCTTGGTTACCGGTTTATCATGAGGCTGGCAAACCTAGTCTTGGGGGCTGGGGTGAAACGCGGCAAAAAGGTGGGGTCGCCCTTTTTGTGCGGGCTACCTTGCCGCAAAGGCCGGCTTTTAGCGTTTCTGGTGATCTCAGTCAGTGTGTTGGCGCTTGGGTTGACGGCTGGTTGTACGGTAGCCTGTACAGTCCTCCGGGCCATAATCAGGAAGCGTCTTTTGAGCTTTGTTCTCTTCTTTTAGATGTTTTTACCAGTGAGGATGTGTTGCCTACTCAGCCTTGGCTTTTGTGTGGTGATTTTAATGAGCTGCCGGCGTCTAGCGTGGTGGGCACTTGCATGAGTTGTTTCGGTGGCGTTGTTGTTGCTTCCGATAAACCGACTCGGTGGGATGGGTCTCGCACGGTTGATTGGATGATTACCAATCGGTGTAGGGCCCTGTCCCCTCCTTGCTTGTTGTCCATTGCCTTAAGTGACCACATTGCTGTCTCGGTTGATTTGCATGGCGTGTCTCATGATGTTCAACTTGGTCGGTTGCGTAAAACTGCTTGCCTTGCTTGTCCTTCTAGTGTTGATCGGGAGTACTGGGAAAAAGCCATTACGGATGTTTGGCTTGCTAGTGCTGCTGTGAGGGAGTTTCTTGAACATTTGCGCCATGGTGAGTGCCTTTCTGTTCAAGACGAGTGGGACGCCTTCCAGCAACTGCTCACGTCTACTGTGTTGAAAGCTTGCTTGGATCTGAGCCAAAATGGGTTTCTTAGTGTTGAAGCTCGCGATGCTTGTTTGTGTGCTTCTGGGCAGCGACCCTTCAAGGGTCAGCCTGGTGTCCATGTGCTTGCCTCTTCTGCTCAAGGTCGCGTTCGGCATGAAGCTGGTGATTTGCGTGCTCGCAAGTTGCGGACTTGGTTGGCCCGCTGCTATGAGTACAAACGCTTGCTTTGTTGGTCGTTTGAAAATCCGTTGTCTCGGGCGCAGGCCATCGAACTTGAAGGCTTGACCTCTCGGTTACGTCATCGTTTTGGCAATTCGCTTGCCTTGCGTGATGTGCTTGCTCATATTGCTTCTCTTAAAGCTCAGCTTCGGCAGCATGAAAGCAGTGTAACAGCTCGTAGGATTCGTGAGTGGCGGGGTGGCCTTGTTTCTTCGGACGCTGCTTTGTCGCGTTGGCTGAAAAGCAAACTTAATCCTGTCGCTGTTGCTGTGACTGACCTTGAGGGTCGCATCGCTGAAACTGATGTGTCTGCGGCGCAAATGATTTTTGAGTATTGGGATGACTTCTGGAAGCTTTCCGGTGCTTCTAAGCCCTCCTTGGAGTCGAGGGTGCGGTCAATGCTTCAAGACATTGCGCCGCTGGCCGATGAAGGTTGGCGTGGTCCGTCTGCGCAAGCTTTGAGGTCTGTCGCTTGTGATAGCGCTGGTGCTTGCGGTCCTGATGGCTGGCAGGGTGTTGAACTTGCTTGGCTTCCGCTTGATATTTGGGATTGCTTTGCGCTCCTGTCTGATCGGTGGTTGCAGTGTGGCAGTGTTCCTTCTCAGATGTGTGAGAGTCGCATGGTGTGTCTTCCTAAACCCGGCAAGATCCGTGCTAACAATGTCGTTTCTGTGCAAGACACTCGTCCTATCACTGTACTTTCATGTTGGTGGAGGATTTGGAGTAGCACCTGGACTCGTAGCGTTGTGCGTGCTTGGATGCGGGCTCACATTCCTCAGGAGTTTGCTGTGGCTCATGCAGTGTCTTGCGGTGAAGTCATCGTTGAGTTGCTTGACCAGTTGTCTACGCGTGGTTACTTGATGACCCTTGACTTCACGAAGGCGTTTGATTGTCTTGACCCCTTGGTTACTCGTGAGGTCCTGCTCCACTTGGGGTGGGGGTGTCAGTTTGTTGATGTTGTCACCCAGGTGTGGCATACTCAGCGGAGATGGGTTTCTTACCAATCTCACACGCACCCGGTGACCTTGTCTCGTCCTTCGATGCCGCAGGGCGACCCGTTGGGCCCTGTCATCATGACCATTTGGGCTTGGCTTGGTTGGCGTCATGTTGAGCGGTGTAGTAGAGTTGACTCTGGCATCATGACTCGGATTTACGTTGATGATCGTACCTTTGCTACTTCGCGTGCTTGGTCCATTCACGATAGGTTTCATCATTGGTGTGCGTGGTCGGCATCCGTTGGCTTGATTGAGAATCGTGCTAAGGCTGTTGCTGTTGCGTCCACTCCTGCTCGGCGGGCTACCCTGCGTCGTCTTTTGCCTGAGGTTGTGGCGAATGATGTGGAATTGCTTGGCTCTTGCAGCATGGTCTCTCGCAGAGGTCTTCTTCCTAAAGAAGCCAGTCGGGTCGATGCTTGTAAGCGTGTCTTGGTGTTGTTGGCGTGCGCTCGGTTGCCCTTCGAGCGTTACATGAGAGCTTGTCGCCAGTTTGCTGTCTCCAAGGTTGCTTACGGTTGGATTGCGCGTGCTCCACCTTTGACCCTGTGTACTCGCCTGTGGAGTTGCGTTCATGTTGGCAGCCGCCGGCTGCGGTCGGCTGCTGTTTGGTTGCGCGCGGCTCTTTGGGGCGGCGGCATGCATTTGGACATTTTATTTGCTACGCAGTTGATTGGCATTTTCTGTTGTTTGCGAAAGAAACGTTCTTTGTTGTGGAGCAGTGTTGGTGGTTCGCCGTGTCGTGCGTTGCATGCTTGGCTTGTGTCGCATGGTTGGGTTCTTCGGCGGCTATGGATTTGGCATCATGACTTGACTGGTCACTTCTTGGACTTGTCTGTTGCTGGCGATGCTGGTGCCAGTCAACACATTGTCCGGGATGCTTGGCGTGCTTGGTGCTTGCAGCGTCACAATGCCTCGTCGAGGCGGGATGCGGCCCTTGATTGCTTTGGTGACACGGGTTATTTTCGCAGCATTGATTGGGAAGCCACTCGGAAGTTCGCCGCTTCTTGCCCCGAAGCCCGGACGATTTGCACTGGCGGTTGCAATTCGCCTGCGGCACTCGGTGGCCGTCTTGCTGGTGTTCCCTTGACATGTGTTTGGCCCGGTTGTTCTCAGCTTGGGACATTTGACCATATTGCTTGGAGTTGTCCTTGCAGGCCGATCGATTTGGTGATTCCTCCTAAACCTGGAGAGTTTTTGTCTTATCGTTTCGGATGGGCTATCACCAATCGGGCTGTTGATAATGTTGCTGTCCAAGCTTGGCTTGTGCGTGTTCAGAAGGTTATTTGGTCGCATGTCCATGATTGACTTGTTTGCTTGCTTGTTCGCCCAGCATCTGACTTGCCATTGGTGCCTTTCTGCCTTGTGCTGGTGGGTGCGGTGTTCTTGTCCGCTCCTGCCTGCGATCAGCTCCTGCGGGCGTGGGCTTCTGGTCTGTGCCTGTGTGGGGTTGGCCGGTGGGTTGGTTTGGTTTGGTTGTTTTTTCCCCCTTTTTGTTGGGGTTGTGTGGTCTCTTAGGCGGCCTTCGGCTGTTTGTTTCCTTGGTGTGGTCGTGTTGGCATCTGCTGCGGCGGCTGCCCTTCACCAGTGCGCGGTCTACTTGGGGGCCGTTCACTGCACAAAGTCCACACATGGTCTTGGTTGTAGCTGGTGTCTTTTGTTGTCCAACCATAGCGAGAATCATCTTGAGAACTGGAGTAGGATTGGAATTTCCATCCGTAGTGATGTTCATTCCAAGGTCGTCTGGGTGGTGTAGATGTTCTCGTCCGGGAGCGTAACCTGAGAGAGCTGTCTCGTGGTGAATTGACCTCGCATGGAATCATGAGTCGACTTGGCACGTCGACGGGGTAGACTGCGATGGTTAAAGACAGGTCCTTTGTCCAAACAAAGGACAGTATCCTCACGGTGGTGGTTCCTGGTGTGGGGTGAACGAGAGCAACGGTGTGGGACAGGTGACTGTGGGATGTTGGAAGGTTGTGGGGCGCCAGGTGGCACCAGTAGTGGTTGTGGTGGAATGGTAGGAGTCGGTGGCGTGGGAAGGGTTGGAGCTGGATGAGCGTCTTGAAATTGGCGGAGAGTGTTCATCATCTCCTCTTTGAAATCGCTTCGAATCTTCTGGACCATCTCGTCAGTGTTGAATGGAGGTGGATTGGTACTAGTAGTCTTCACTTCAGTAGTCTTCACTTCAGGTGGAACCTTTGGTTGTGGAGGTTCTGATGGTGGAGGAGCCTGTGAAGTAGTGAAGTAGGTGATGATGAAGGAGGGTTGGGAATAGAAGGTTGTAGCAATTGTTGAAGTTGGATGTGGGACGCAGCTTGAGTGGCGAGTTCTTGGTTGAGCAGAGCATTTTGCTGCTGCAGAGATGAAATCTGAGCTTGGGACTGCGTCTGTTGTTGCATCTGGGGGTCCGGGATCACCTCCACTGAAATGTCCACCTCCCAGGAACTGGAAGAACTGTGTTTGCTGTCAGGGTCCACATGGGCTGCATCATCGGATCTGGATTGGATGTAGGTGGACTCATCCATGATCGAAGGAAACGGGAACGGGAACATGCAAAAACGCAGGGCCAGGTGCAATCTGAATTAACAGTTTCAGCATCCACCGGTAAGTGCCAAGTGTCGTGATAAGGCTCAAGGCCCTCGACAGTCAATTCAAAGCCTTGGGCAGCTGAAGCGTTCAAACTTCGAATTTGTGCACAATTAATTTTCACCAAAACAACCACAAGAAAGTGACCACACCTGGAAATCATGTCCTAAAGGTCCTAAAGCCTGAATCATGTCATGATGCCATGCTATAAGCTGATCAGTCGCTCCAGCAACATTGGAAAAAAGAGAGGTTGGCGCAGCTGACAACTACTGACCCTTAAGGTACGGCATCCAGCTGTTCAACATTCAATCAATCGACAAGTGAAACCCGAAAAAAAGGCCATCTGTTTCACTTTACTTAAACGAATTGCTAGATTTTAAGTGCAAATTCAGAGATCAAGTCGAAGGATCCAACATCCTACCTAGCCAGGTATTCCCCGAAGGGCTCACGACATTTGGTCGAACCGACGTGAGTAACACACTTGCTCAGAGTTAACTGTCATTGCGAAGTCCGTTGTGGAATGCATCTTGCGAATGGGTCGGTGAAAGGACCTGAAAAACATTGAGAAGCTGCCACCGCCATAGCCAGGGAGTTGCGCCAACATGCGCCAACTCGTACCACAAACAATTGAAACCAATTGATTGGAAGAAATTGAGTGAAAATTCGACTTGCCGGTTCTGAGCTTAGCCAGTTGCTATGACGTAGACGTAAGCCACATTGGAAAAAGATTTGGATAGCAGGTACATTGATCCAGCGTCCCAGATCGATATCACAGAATGTCATAGCCCTTAGCCGTCTTCGTGGCTGCAGAACTATGACATTCCCTGCAGCCCCCTGCGAAACTGAGAAGTAGTAAAATGAAATCAAAACCAAAAACAGAGCACCAGAATTTCAACAAGTTAGAACTTTTACATCTCTTCAGATGGTTCACACACACACACTCTCATTTATTCATTCATTCATTCATTCATTCATTCATTCTCATTCATTCTCATTCATTCTCATTCATTCTCATTCTCTCATTCTCATTCATTCTCATTCATTCTCATTCATTCATTCATTCATTCATTCACATTCATTCATTCACATTCATTCATTCATTCATTCATTTTCATTCATTCATTTTCATTCATTCATTTTCATTCATTCATTTTCATTCATTCATTTTCATTCATTCATTCATTCATTCATTCATTCATTTTCATTCATTCATTTTCATTCATTCATTTTCATTCATTCATTTTCATTCATTCATTTTCATTCATTCATTGTCATTCATTCATTTTCATTCCTTCCTTGTCATTCATTTTCATTCCTTCCTTGTCATTCATTTTCATTCCTTGCTTGTCATTCCTTTTCATTCCTTTTCATTCCTTTTCATTCCTTTTCATTCCTTTTCATTCCTTTTCATTCCTTTTCATTCCTTTTCATTCCTTTTCATTCCTTTTCATTCCTTTTCATTCCTTTTCATTCCTTTTCATTCCTTTTCATTCATTTTCATTCATTTTCATTCATTTTCATTCATTCATTCATTCATTCATTTTCATTCATTCATTCATTCATTCATTTTCATTCATTCATTCATTTTCATTCATTCATTCATTTTCATTCATTCATTCATTTTCATTCATTCATTCATTTTCATTCATTCATTTTCATTTTCATTCATTCATTTTCATTCATTTTCATTCATTTTCATTCATTCATTCATTCATTTTCATTCATTCATTCATTTTCATTCATTCATTCATTCATTCATTCATTCATTCATTCATTCATTTTCATTCATTTTCATTCATTTTCATTCATTCGTTCATTCATTCATTCATTTTCATTCATTCGTTCACTCATTCATTCATTCATTCATTCATTCATTCATTCATTCATTCATTCATTCATTCATTCATTTACATTCATTCATTCATTTTCATTCATTCATTTTCATTCATTCATTTTCATTCATTCATTTTCATTCATTCATTTTCATTCATTCATTTTCATTCATTCATTTTTATTCATTCATTTTCATTCATTCATTTATTTTCATTCATTTTCATTCCTTGTCATTCATTTATTTTCATTCATTTTCATTCCTTGTCATTCATTTTCATTCCTTGTCATTCATTTTCATTCCTTGTCATTCCTTTTCATTCCTTGTCATTCCTTTTCATTCCTTGTCATTCCTTTTCATTCCTTTTCATTCCTTTTCATTCCTTTTCATTCCTCTTCATTCCTTTTCATTCCTCTTCATTCCTCTTCATTCCTTTTCATTCCTTTTCATTCCTTTTCATTCCTTTTCATTCCTTTTCATTCCTTTTCATTCCTTTTCATTCCTTTTCATTCCTTTTCATTCCTTTTCATTCCTTTTCATTCCTTTTCATTCCTTTTCATTCCTTTTCATTCATTGTCATTCATTGTCATTCATTGTCATTCATTGTCATTCATTGTCATTCATTGTCATTCATTGTCATTCATTGTCATTGATTGTCATTGATTGTCATTGATTGTCATTGATTGTCATTGATTGTCATTGATTTTCATTGATTTTCATTGATTTTCATTGATTTTCATTGATTTTCATTGATTTTCATTGATTTTGATTTTCATTGATTTTCATTGATTTTCATTGATTTTCATTGATTTTCATTGATTTTCATTCATTGTCGTTGATTTTCATTCATTGTCATTCATTGTCATTCCTTGTCATTCCTTGTCATTCCTTGTCATTCCTTGTCATTCATTTTCATTCCTTGTCATTCCTTTTCATTCCTTGTCATTCCTTTTCATTCCTTGTCATTCCTTTTCATTCCTTGTCATTCCTTTTCATTCCTT